GCGGGGGGCCGGGCCGGCGCCGCGTCCCCTCCGTTCTGGCCGCCCTCGCCGCCCTCCGAGGCCACTTCGGCCCCTGTGCCGCCCTCAGACCCCTTCCCTGAGGTCCGCGTTCCCGCGGCCTTGTCGTCCTTCTTGCCCGGCAGCGGAGCCAACAGGCTGAGGGCCCCGTGCACGCGGCGGTGCTGGCGGAGGTAGGAGGCGAGGCGGAAGGCCAGGCCGCAGTCCGGACACACGAAGGGCCGGTCGGTGGAGTGGACCAGCCGGTGGCGGGACAGCGACCAGGGCCTGGCGAAGGCCTTGAGGCAGATGGAGCACTGGTGTCGCTTGGGCCGCGGTGGCGGCCCGCCCTCGCCCTCCTGGTCGCCCTCGGGCCGCAGACAAGGGTGTGCCTTGAGCTCACCCTTGGTGGCGAAGGCCTCACGGCAGCGCAGACACAACAGCGTCCAGTCGGCCTGGAGCAGAACCTGCTTCTCCTCCTGCCGCCCGGCCGCCAGGGCCAGCTCGGCCCGCAGCTCTGCCGCCCCGGCCTCGGCCTCCTCCTCCTCACATTCGCGGGGCTCCGATGGCACAGAGGCGGCCAGGGCGCCAGGCTCCCCGGCTGGCCACGTCTCGGGCCACGCTGCCTCCTCCGGGGCCCCCACCGCTGCCGCCGTGGTGGCCTGCTCCTCGCCCTCGTCCTGCGAGCCCCAGCTGGACTCGGTCGCCTCCTTGGCCACGCGCTCGATGGCCAGCTCCACCTCTCCGCCCGCGTGCTCCTGGGCCAGGTGGCGCCGCAGCTGGGCAGGTTCCGGGAAGGTGCGCGGACAGGCAGCGCAGCGCAGTGGAGGCTGTGGGCCGTGGCCACGCAGGTGGCGGGAGAGGTGGGCTGGTCGGCGGAAGGCCTTGGGACACAGGGGGCAGGCGTGGGGGCGCAGACCCGAGTGGCTCAGTCGGTGCCGGGAGAGGTAGTAGGGGAAGCGGAAGAGGCGGCCGCAGGTTGGGCAGGGCAGGGGCGCCCGTGGGGCTCCGGCTCCTCCTCGGCCACAGCCTCGGCCACGACCACGGCCACGACCACGACCTCGGCCACGGCCACGGCCACGGTGAGGTGGACTGCCCTGGGCAGGTGGAGGGGGCTGGGGGTCCATGCCTGTGGGGAAGAAGGGGAGAGGGATATAAGAAATGGAGAGATGGGGGGAGGGGGACAGAGATAAAGGGAGAAACAGAGAGAGATGCGCAGACAAGGATAGACAGTGAGAGAGGCAGAGAGAATCAGCCAGAGAAAGGAGAGGGAGAAACAGAAACAGGCAGGGATGCCAGAAAGACACAGAGGAGGAGAGACAGAGAAACACGTGCAGAGAGAGAGAGAGGAAAAGACAGAAATGAGAGACACAGAGAGAGAAAAAGACAAGAGACAGAGATGAGAGACATAGAAGTAAAGACAGAGAGACAGAGACCAAGAGAAACAGATAGGATGGTGAGAGATAGAGAACAGAGAGAGAGAGAGCAGAGAAACTCAGCAGAGTGAGACAGAGATGCAGAGACAGGAGACAAAGAGATTTAGATACCCAAAGGCAGAGACAGTATAAACACAGAGATCAGAAGAAGGGAGGAAGGAGAAAGGGAGAGAGAAGAGGACAGAAATACAGACAGTAGAGGAGACATAGAGGGAGACCAAGTCAGCAAACTGCCTTTGCTCTGGGCCCCGGGATGGACGTCTGGGGAGGGGCTGGAACGAGGCCATGGAGTCAGAGTGGAGGGGGTGGGATTCAAAGTCTGGAGGCCCCGGAAATGGAGGGTGGGTGTCCTATGACAGGGGCTGGAAGAGGCCAGGGAGTAGGAGGACTCAGACTCTTGGGTCTGAGGGAGGGGGCTGAGGGCTTGGACCTTGGGTGTGAATGAGAGTGGGCTTGGGGTCCGGACTACTGGGTCTGAGGGAAGAAGGGCTGGGGCCAGTACTCCTGAGTCTGAGGGAGGAGGGGCTGGGGGTCTGGACTCCTGGGTCTGAGGGAGGAGGGACTGGGGGTCTGGACTCCTGGGTCTGGGAGATGACAGGATCGGGTGATCTAGACTCCTGTATCTGGGAGTATGGATTCCTGGGTACTGATGGAGGAGGGGGCTGAGGTGGGGGGCTGGGCTTCTAAGACAAGAGGGAGGAGGAAGCTGGGGACCCAGCTGCTCGAAATCTCCAGGCAGGAGCAAGCCAAGGCCCTGACCCCTGGACCCTGAGGCAGGCTGTTCTGTGCGGGGAGCCCCCAGGTCTCCAAGGGGGGCCAACCCCCCGCTCTGGGCCCAGCCCGGGGCTCCCGCAGGCATGATCAGTAGAATCAGGGCGGCGGGTGGAGGACCTCCGGAGCTCCCAGCCCGGGGCTTGGGGCCCTGATCCCGGGGCGCCCGCTCCTTACCTCCGCCGCCTTGGCTCCTTTCTTCCCCCGCTGCCTGCCGAGCGCGGACCTTGGCCGCGGGGAGGGAGGGGGCCCAGAGCGTGGTGGGGGTGGAGGAGGCTGGGCTCGGTGTCGCCGCCTAAGCCTTCCCCCCGGAAACCCAGCCTCGCGTCCCAGCCGGTGAGAGGAAAGCCTAGCTGGGAGGCCGGAAGCGGGAGGACTGGGGGACCCAGGGGGCGGGGAGCAGGGAGGGCGGCCTGAACTCCTGGGTCCTCTGAGGGGAGAGGGTGGGGGCCTATCCTCTGTGCTCCCCGAGGGAGGAGAGGGCTGGGGGCCTGCGAGGCTGGGCTCAGTTACACACACACACACACACACACACACACACCCCAACGGACACACATATTCATTCATTCCTTCAACAAATACACATTTATCAGCTCCGTCTGTGCCAGGCACTGTGTTGGGCCAGGGGGACAGCAGGCGGGGAGGGAGATGAATGGCGCAGTGACAGAGGCTTCAGGGAAAGGCCCAGGACTCCGGACTAGAACCTGGCTCCAGCCGTCGCTTGTCTCTTCCTTCTCGGAGCCTCAGTTTCCCCCTCTGTAATAAGCCCTGCATATATTCATTCGCCCCTAAGCATCTCATATTTACCAAATACCTACTATAGACCAGCTCTGCATATATTTAGCTACTAATATTCAACCGACCCTATTGTTGTTAGCTGCCGTCGACTCATAGTGACCCCGTTTAACAGAGTAGAACTGCTTCATAGGATTTTCTAGACTGTAATCTTTACGGGACTAGGTCGTCAGATCTTTCTCCCACTGGTTGGTTCGAACTATCAACTTTTCGGTTAGCAGCCCAGCACTTAAATATTTGTGCTACCAGGGCTCCTAACCGACTTTCCCATGTCATTGCCGTGAAGTGGAGTCTGACTCATTTCGACCATATAGGAGAACTGCCCCATGGGGTTTCCAAGGTTGTCATCTTTACGGAAGCAGATCTCTGCATCTTTCTTCTGCGGAGCTTCGCTGGTGGGTTCAAACCACCGACCTTTAGGTTAGCAGCTGAGTGTTTAACAACTAGGCCACCAGGGCTCGCTTAACCGACCCTAAGCCAACAACATTTACTAAGCACCTACTATAGCCCAGCTCTGCATATGTTTAGTGACACATATTCAGTCCTAAGGTGGTGCAAACGGTTAAGCACTTGGACTACTAGCTGAAAAGTTGGCAGTTTTAACCCACCCCGAGGCCCCTAGGAAGAAAGACCTGGCGATTTACTTCTGAAACATCACAGCCTTTAAAACCCTATGGAGCAGCTCTACTCTGCACACACGGGGTTGGCATGAGTCCAAATCTACTTGAAGGCAACTAACAACAACAAAAAACAAAAAACAAACCCATTGCCACTGAGCCAATCCCCACTCATAGCGACCCTATAGGACAGAGTAGAACTGCCCCACTGGGTTTCCAAGACTATAAATCTTTACGGAAGCAGACTGCCATATCTTTCTCACGCAGAGTGGCTGTGGATTCCAACCACCGACCTTCCGGTTTGCACTGGACTGCTTTAACAACAACAAGCAAATAGTATTTACTGAGCATCTAGTATGGGATAGCGCTGTCCTTGGTACTGGAGCTACTGTGGCACAAACAGAGGCTGTTTGCCTCTGTAATTTCACATGGCAAACACAGACCCCATCCCACTTTTGGGGTGGGTGGCCTAAAGGAGGGAATATAGTATGTTGTGGGAATACAGAGAACAGAGAAAGGCACCAGGCTGAGCTCACACTGGGGTAAGGGTGATCTGAGAGTTCTTCCTGGAGGCAGTGTTTCAGCGGAGACCTGCAAGATGAAAGATAGGAGTTAGGGATGGGAAGGGGAAGCAGATGGTAACTGGAGAGAAAAGTATTAACATGGCTGCATATCGAAAACCTATTGTTGAGCCAAAAGGCATGCTGCACGTGTATACTGTCAGCTTGATGCTGTTTGTTGAAGGTTAAAAATATGCTGAACATTGTTAGCCAGAGTGTTGGGAGATAGGTCCTTTCACCCATGGCTAGGGCAACAGCCTTAATGAGCCAGTCGTCCTGGGATGTTATACTTCGGCGAGATCTACTCAGAAAGGTGCAAAACAACCCCAAGAGTATGGCCCCTGGACACCCTTTTAGCTCAATAATGAAGTTGCCCTGAGCTTCACCTTTAGCCAAAAAGTAGACAGGCCTATAAAACAAAAGAAGACTAAAGGAACACACCAGCCCGGGGCAAGGACTAGAAGGCAGTAGGGTGACAGGAAAGCTGGTAATAGGGAACCCAAGGTCGAGAAGGGAGAGTGTTGACATGTCGTGGTGTTGTTAACCAATGTCATACAACAGTATGTGTTCTAACTGTTTAATGAAAAGCTAGTTTGTTCTGTAAACCTTCATCTAAAGTACAATAAAAATTAAAAAAATTAACAGACCAAAAAAAAAAAAAATAGGAAACGTGCAAAACTATGACTTTGTATCAGGGTAATCATTGCAATATAGTGTACCAGGGCAAAAGATTGAAAACAACCTAACACCTACCTGTCTTAGTTATCTAGTGCTGCTATAACAGAAATAGCACAAGTGGAAGCTTTAACAAACAGAAATTTATTCTCTCATAGTCTAGGAGGCTAGAAGTCTGAATTCAGGGTGCCAGCTCCAGGGAAAGGCTTTCTCTCTCTGTCAGGGAAAGTTCTTGTCTCTTTTAAACATCTGTGGGCCCAGCATTCCTTGGAGATCACCATGTGTCTTGTCATCAATCTTCCCTGGGGACTAGGAGCTTCTCAGCGCAAGGACCTGGCATCCAAAGGACACACTCCAGTCTTAGTTCTTTCTTGGTGGTATGAGGTCCCTCTCCTCTCTGTTCCTTTCTCTCCTTTGTGTCTCAAAATAGATTGACTCAAGATACTATCAAATCCTGTAGATTGTGTCCTGCCTCATTGACATAACTGCCTTTAATTCTGCCTCGTTACCATCACAGAGGTTAGGATTTACAACACATAGCATAATTACATCAGATCACAAAATGGAGGACAAAATACTGGGAATCATGGCCTAGCCAAGTTGACACACATTTTGGGGGGACACAATTCAATCCATAACACCATCATAAGTGTTATGGGTTGAATTGTGTCCCACAAAAAGATACATTGAAGTCCTAACCCCTACTACCTGTGAGTGCAAGCTTGTTTGGAAATAAGGTCTTTGAAGAAGTTAACGGTTAGGTTAACATGAGATCATACTGGAGTGGGGTGAGTCCTAATCCAATCTGAGTTGTGTACTTGTAAAAGAGAGAAGAGACAGAGAGGAAAGAGGACCAAGTGAAGACTGAGGCAGAGATTGGAGTAATGTGTGTCTACAAGCCAAGAAACACCAAAGATCGCTGGCTGACACCAGAAGCTAGGAGAGGCATGGAACAGATTGTCCCTCAGAGCCTCCAGAAGGAACCAACACAGCCAACAGCCTGATTTCGGACTCCCAGCATCCAGAACTGTGAGACAATAAAGCTTTGTTCTTATTATTCACTTAGTTTGTGATATTTTGTGATGGCAGCCCTAAGAAACTAATCCAGTTGGGAATTGGGTAATAAATCATGATCCATCTACCTAATAGAATAATATGCATCTATAAAAAAGGATGAAGAAGCACATTAGGTATAAATATAGAAAGACTACACGTGAAAATGTGAAGTAGAGGAAAGAAGAAAGGTGAAGAACAGTTTTTCTAACCATCTGTG